TTATTGATACGGTTCTCGTCAATTTTCAATTATTTAGTGTATTTCTCATCAAAATTTCTTAAAATACTTCTATCCAAATCTCATTATTTTCAACCACATCTCACAAATAAAAAAATTGTAGATAAGTTTGCATTTTCACATGGCATAATTGATAATTTTTTCTCATTAAAATGAGAGATGAAGCCAAAAAAAAAGTGTTGAAGGTCAAATTTAATATATGAAACTCTATTTTTTCTTTATATTTTTTTTTACAGATTCATGATTAAGAAAAACTCTAATATCACTTGTTGAAATTATTTTCACCGAAAAAAAATAACATAATTTTTTTAAAATATAAACATATTCTAAATATAATTAAAAATAGATCTTATTTAAATTTAAATTAATAAATAAAATAAATTATAATTTTTACATTTAGTAAAAATGTAGTTATTTTCCAGTATGATACTAAAAAGTCAGGAAAAGATAATGAAGAAAAAAGTATATTCATCAAGCAAAAAAAAAAAGGAGAGAGAGGGATTCAAACCCTTCCATAGTTCTTTGTTCTAAATACACCGCTTATATCTAAACAGAGCTCAACTTACATGTAAGCAATTATTCGTGAAATGTTGGTAGGTTCTGCCTCTTATGAAGAATCTCACTTTCAACATCATATGTTCTCTTCTATTTGGACTTGAAAGAGGAATTAGAAGAGACCAACTAGTGGGTTACTTTCAAGAGATGATTGAAGGAATGTGGTCTGTCCCAATCAACTTGCCATTCACACGCTACAACCGGAGCCTCAAAGCAAGTTCCCAGGTTAGAAAATTGGTGAAGGATCTCGTATTTGAGAAGAGGATGGAACTTGAACAGCAAGGTGATCCTCATAAAGACCTCATCACTTGCTTGCTCAGCATCCGGAATGGAAAGAATCAAGAAATGCTAACGGAAGAAGAGATTGTGCATAATGTTATGCTGATCATGGTTGCTGGACATGACACTTCATCAATTCTCATCACTTTCTTACTTCGTGTCTTAGCAAATGACCCTGCCATTCATGCAGCAGTACTGAAAGGTACACATTGCAACGGATTACATAACACGAAACAGACACAATTTAGTAACTTTACAATTTAAACCAAGTATAATGGTAAGGGATAGTAACTTTGTGAATTGAAGAGGAGAAAACTGATATACCCATATGGTAATGATAAGGGATAGTAACTAAGTATACCCAGATGGTAACTTTGTGAATTGAAGAGGACAAAAACTTATATATCCAGATGTTAAAATCTTGTGAAGTTGTTGACTTTTGATCTGCAGAACAAGAAGGAATAGCTAAGAGCAAGCCAGCAGGGGCACCTCTAACATGGGAAGATCTTGCAAAGATGAAATACACATGGAGAGTAGCCATGGAAACTCTGAGAATGGTTTCTCCAGTCTTTGGAGGGTTTAGGAAAGCATTGAAAGACATTGAGTATGGTGGGTACCTTATTCCCAAAGACTGGCAAGTAAGTGAAAACTCAATGCTCAATTTTATTCTGATATGCTTACCTATCCTTTCTTTTTGCTACAGCATGCCAAATCAATTTGTAGCATAGCTTCTAATTGATACTCCTAATGCATGTATAGATATTCTGGGTAACGAACATGACGCACATGGATGAAAACATATTCCCTGAACCATCAAAATTCGATCCAACAAGATTCGAGAACCAAACATCAGTTCCACCATATAGTTTCATTCCATTTGGAGGAGGACCCAGGATTTGTCCAGGATATGAGTTTGCAAGGATCGAGACCCTTGTTTCGATCCATTATCTTATCATCCGATTTACCTGGAAGCTGCTGCTTCCAGATAATTCTTTTGGCAGAGATCCAATGCCAGTACCGGCTGGGGGCCTACCAGTCAAAATCATGCCCAGAAACTTGGACAGTCTTACAGTCTACTGATATATTTACATTGACGTAAGTCATGCAAACTACTGGGTACATATCAATATCCTCCAAGTCTACAGTTTGATCACCATGTATTACAAAGGCGTTGACCAGACAAATTTACTCTAGATACTTGCATAGGAACATGGACAAAGAAATTGCTATGTATATTTAGAAAACAGAAGACTCAGCAAGAGTTAACATGTATCTCAGAAACCTGAATTCTTTAAGTGGGATGTACATCACAGTGACTCAACATAGTATTAAATCATGATGAAGTTTGCAATTAGATGAAAGGAGAAATTGTTGGACGCAAAAACTTGCTGTTTTTGTTTTTGTAATTTCAAAACAGAGAGAGAATAATATAGCAATTTAAATATGAATGTGTGGGTCTGCAGTGAGAAAAAAGAGAGCAAAAAAATGCAGAGAAAATGCAGAGAAAAATGCAGAAGAGAATACAGCAGAGTGAGAGACAGCTTCTGGCAAAGTGAACTCTATACATTGTAGTTCATCAGCCTTACATATTTATATCATTTTTAAGGGAAGATATTTTGCTACAGCAAATACAAGCTGTCAGCAAAAAATTAAGTAAAACCCATCATTTTGTCAACCAAAACAAGCAAGAGTTGCTGATTTTCTTGCTTCAAAAGATGCTTCCCCATTCCTTTCAACTACCACTTACTAACTAAAGCAGAATAAAGAAAAAATAATCATAATTTCCTGACTTCAGCAATCACTGTTCAAGAAAAACTCAACTGCTAACAGAAGTAGGGGATAATTTTAGGATACCATTATTTTCTCCCCCAAAATAGAGCTCAAAGTTACATGTTAGATACAATTTCTGCAACGCTAGTAGTTTTGCACCTTGTGAAGACCCTGGATTCAACATTAGCCCTGACTCTTTTCTATTTTGTAGTGGAGAGAAGAATTAGAAGAGATGAGAAGGTCTACAACTTCAGAGAGGTGATAGGAGGACTATCTGTCGTCTCAGTTGACTTTACCTCCACATGCTATAACCACAGACTCGAAGCTAGTTTTCGTGTTTGAAACTGGTGAAGGATCTGATACAAGAGAAGAACGAACTTGGCAACAGGTGCTTCTTCCGAAGGCCTTATCACTTGCAGGCTCAGCATCTGAAATGAAAACAACGAAGAAATGATCTGAGGAAATTCTGCAAATGGGTCATGCTTATCTTGGTTGCAGAGAATGACAGTTCATTCATTCTCATCAAATCATGTTAAGGGCTATGGCTAATGACCATGCAATTTATGCAGCAGTAGTTCCAAGGAATGCATAGTTACCTGCCTGCAGTCTGCAAATTATAAAAGCTAGAATTTTGAAGGACAAGTACCTTGTTATTCAAAGAACAGAAAATTGATATATTCAGTCTGACCCAATCCCATAAGAGGTTATATCAAGGAGAAGATCTTATTGCAGACTTTGATTTCTGATATGCAAAACAAGAAGCTTTAGCTAAGAGCAAACCAGCAAGAGCTCCTTAAACATCGGAAGATCTTGCAAAGATGTATACATGGAGAGTAGTAATGAAGACTTTGGGACTGTTCCCTCCAATCCTTGGTGCTTTATGAAGGCATCGGAAGATATCGGAAGAAAATCACTCCTCAATTTCTCTGCTATTTTTGGGTTTTCTTTTTAACCTTTTTGTTTACAGACAAAAACTCATTTTGGAAATCCCGCTTTGCCACCATGTTTTTAGCATAGATATTAGCAAGCCTAGATAATAACAAAATATCTCCCTGATTTTTGCAGGCAAGACAAACAAGAAGAGACCTACAAAGTCTGCATATATATACATATACGATTAAGTTTTGTTCCCTTCAGTTCCTTGTCTCTTCTGTTGTAAAATCAGGAACTAATCATTAGTTAATGCCTCTACAAACACAGAGAAAAGTAACTGTTTTGTATAAAAAGAAAAATATGAAATCTACGACATGAAAATTATAAAAGATTAAGTACAACAAATGGAAGAATGAGTGTAGTATCCCAATCCCATGTCAAAAGATATCTGATTGTTAATCCTTATAATGATCCAAATCATGCAGAGCATAATGGTTTGATTTCAGAAAGTTATCAAGTCAGCGTATCTGGATTTGGAGTATTACCAATAGTATCAGAGTACAACTAAATCCAAAAAGTCAAAAGAATTTTCAGATTTTAATTTTAACTTTAAGTGCTATTTTATCTACCCGAATTTCATTAACAAAGTTTTAGGTAGCTATTGCATAATTATAGAAACCAAGATTGGTTTCACGTGAATCTTATTTAACCATGAAAGTGTATTTAATATATAATATTTAGTAATTATTTATTCCAGCTTTTCTTTGCTGAGACAATCATAAAAATGAATATTTTGAAGTGTCAACCAGAATCAGTTGTCTATGTGAATAAGATATCATTTCATAAGCAAACAAAAGAATGTCCTCGTGATCACACAGCTGTGTGTGTGTCTCTATACATATATATATATATATATATGGAGTTTTCACTGCCCATTGACCCATCTTCTCACCCAAACAAGGGCTTAATTCTAAAAATGAAAATCTTGTTTACCATTTTCCTCTTCTTCATCTCCATCTTCCTCCTGAGGAGAAGATCATCAAAAAAAGGTTGCCCCCTGGTTCCCTGGGACTCCCAATAATAGGCCAGAGCCTTACCCTTCTCCGAGCTATGAGAGCCAACACCGCAGAGAAATGGCTCGAAGAAAGAATAAGGAAATATGGATCCATATCAAAGCTAAGCATCTTTGGCAAACCAACAGTCTTCATCTATGGACAAGCTGCAAACAAGTTTGTGTTTACTGGTGATAGCAGCATAATTACTAACCAGCAAACCAAGTCAGTTCGGATGCTTCTGGGGGATCGATGTCTGCTAGATTTGTTAGGAGAAGATCACAAGCGTGTTAGAGATGCTCTTGTGTCTTTCTTGAAGCCTGAATCATTGAAGCAGTTTATAGAGAAAATGGAAGAATTCATCAGGTTGCATATTGAGAAGCACTGGCAAGGGAAGGAAGAGGTCACGGTATGCTTGAGATAATAAGAAATCCATAAGAAATGCATATTTGTAAAAGATTTCATATCATTCTTTTTGAGATAAAAAGAATATATATGAAGTATACGGTATCAAAGGGGTGACACTTATATACAAAGTATTTATATCTCTGTTAAAATATAAATGACATTTCTAAAATTCTCCACTCATATATGTCGAGTCTCAAAATTAAAGATCTAAAAATGTTATCCACATATTTCTAATTCTCACTGTACCTCCTACACACCTTTCAAAAATTTTATTGTTCATTTCTTTTGCACCACTTAAAAAATAGTTAAAAGAATAAATTTTAGAACTTTCGATCTTTTTACAAATCCCAAAGTTTATTTTTAGTTGTACCCGCAATAACTCAGTTGATACTCAGCAGTCTGTAAACCATAATTCAAATACTATACACCATTAGGCACCAGAGAATGATATAATTCAAGTAAGATTTTACTGCTTTCTTGCACAAGTAGCAATCATTAACCATGACCTTACCCCTTCTCGTCAACTTGTCAATTATAAGAATACATTTAAGCCCCGCTTCTGCTTCCAGTATATATTCATTTTAGAGAATCACATAAGGAAAATTAAGAGGGAAGAGAAGAAGAAGATTTAAAGTGAGAAAAAGGGTTTGGGTTTTGAGAGGAAGAAACATGGTAGAAGGGAAACAATTTCAATTTGTTTAGTGAAATTGACCAGCTTGATTACCATGATATCTAAACAGAGTTCAACTTACATATCAGCAATTATTTGTGAAATGTTTGGTAGGTTCTGCCTCTTATGAAGAATCTTACTGT